AAAAAAAAAAAAAAAAAAAAAAAAAAAAGATGTCCCATCCTAATCCTCAAACCTGTGAATATGATGAGACAGCACTCCCATTATTGAGCTATACACAATTGACCTTAAGACAGAAAGATCTGGGTGAGCCTTTTACCAGCTAGTGAAGGATTAAACTTGCCATTCCTGACTTTGAAGATGGAGTGGGGGCATGTGAAAGGACTGAAGAACAGTCCCTAGGAGCTGAGAGTGACCCCCGGCTAACAGCCAGAAAGGAAATGAAGACCTTAGTCTTACAACTGCGTGGAACTAAACTCTGTCAACAACCTGGTTGAGCCCAAAAGCAGATTCTCTCCCAGAGCCCCCAGCGAAGAGTCCAGGCCACCAAACCTTGATTTCAGCCTGTGAGACTCTAAGCAGAGAATCCAGTAAAGCCTACCAGGACTTCTGACCCACGGAACTGAAATAATAAAAGGGTGTTGTTTTAGCCCACTAAATCTGTGGTACCTTGCTATGCAGCAATAGAAAACTAATAGTCTCCTACTATTGATCATAAGCAGCCAGCCAATAACCAGAAATAGGAGAAAAGCCTCTAACAAGAAGATGGAGCACAAAACCAACAAAAACCCCCAGCAACTTGGAGAAAAGATACTATGCAGGGAGAAAAAAAGTGTCAAAAACACTCTCTTCACTAAAATTACAGAGAGGTGCCATAATATCGCATCCACAAAACAAAGAACAAGACGTTTACTCTAAAAAAGGAACAGACAAAAAAAAAAAAAAAAATGAAAAGGAACTCTTGAAATTAAAAAGAAGATAGTAGAAACGAAAAACTCAATGGAAGAGTTAGAAAATAAAGTTGACAATGTCTTCCAGAAAGGAGAATAAAAAGACAAAAAGATAGAAAATAGAAAAGAACATTGGAGAAACAGTCCAAGAGGCCAAACATCCAAATAATAGCAGTTCTAGAAAGAGAAAACAAAGGGAAAGAACTCAACAATAAAATACCTTTAAGAAATTTCCCAGAAACTAAAGAATATGAGTCCACTGAGTATCCAACACAGTGGATGAAAACAGACCCCAATCAAGACACACTGTGAAAATTTATAATCCTGAGAAGAGAAGATATTACAAGCTTCCAGAGAGGAAAATATGGATCACATGCAAAAGATCCAGAAAACAGAACATCTTTGTATTTCTCAATATCAATACTGAAAGCTAGAAAATCATGGAGCAATGACTTTAAATTTTTTTAACTGCCAACCTAAAATGACTTAGCCAGCCAAATAATCGATTAAATATGAAGACAGAATAAAGATGTTTTTAATACATGCAAGTCTCAAAGAATTTACCTCCCATATACCCTTTCTTAAGAAGTTGGCAGAGGAAGTGAGCCACTAAAACAAAAGGTAAGCAAAGAAAGAGAAAGACATGGGATTTAGGACACATGAATTCCAATACAGGAGAGAGGCAGAGAAGTCTAGAATGATAGTAAAAAGAAAGATCAGTATGATAGTTATGTAGCAGATGTCCAAGACAATCATTCTAGATTAGAACCATGTGACTAGAAAGATAGGCATGTTAAAGGCTATCATCTCCAAGATACCCATTGTCAATGTCCCATACTCCTTTTATTTATTTATTTTAATTTATTTATTTTTGGCTGCGTTGGGTCTTTGTTGCAGTGCATGGGCTTCTCATTGCAGTGGCTTCTCTTGTTGCGGAGCATAGGCTCTAGGCACACAAGCTTCAGTAGTTGTGGCTCGCGGGGTCTAGAGCGCAGGCTAAGTAGTGGTGGCACACGGGCTTAGTTGCCCCGCAGCATGTGGAATCTTCCCGGACCAGGGCTCAAACCCATGTCCCCTGCATTGGCAGGCGGATTCTTAACCACTGCACCACCAGGGAAGCCCCCATACTCCTTTTAAACCTGAGGACAGAATGCCCAGGTGAGCCTGCCTCGAAGTATCTGGATTTTGCTAATTTGACCACATGCTGCTGAAGCTCATGCACACCCTCCCTCCAAGTACTGCACAGCCTGGATCGGGCATGGACATACATTCCACCCAACAGAAGTTATCTGCTGTCTTCTACTCTTGCAGGGGGAGCGGGTCACGGGGAGATGAGAAGTAGAGAAGTCAGAGGGGCCCACTCCCCGTCAAAGCATATTGTTACCAGACAACTAATTTTTCTGGTCTGCACAACAGCCCTCTGGTGCCCTGACTGTGGTGAGCCATGTGTGTTTCCCTGGACTCACATGTGACCTCACCCTGATGACCTCCCTAGACTCGGCTCTCATAAACTCTTAGGGAAGCTGAAGCCAGACTATGACCTAGAGACTGTTCAGCTTATCCCCTCCTAGGCAACTTCACCTAACAGTAACTTCAGTAACCAGCTAGGTGTGTGTTTGCCACTCCAGTTTTCAAAACAAAATAATATATATTATTTAGGTAAACTGTAATGAAAAGCAAAGGAATGAGTAACACAAAAGTCAGGGTAGATATGACCTGTGGTAATGAGGGAGAGGAACGCAAGTGGGGGAGGGGCACACAGGTAGCTTCTAAAGTTCCAGTAGTGTTCTATTTCTTAACAAAAGTAGAGTTTTACTACTCTTTATACTGTACATACAAATTTAATATACTCTGTTGTAGAGATATATTTCACAAAAAATTTACAATTTAAATAAAGAAAATGAGAGGAAAGAAAGCAATCAGAAGGAGAAAGGAATCAACACTGATACTATAAGGGGAGGGGAAGCCACTTACCATTTCATACGCTACTTCCTCAGGTGTATCTGTTTCTAAATTGAAACTGAATTCAATAGCTTCATTGTCTTTATGCTTGCCTTTCAATTTTTTAGGGTCTTCAACCCAGAGCCTTAAAGCCAGAGATGAATTTGAGCAATCATCTTCCTCCGCTAACTCCACCCTTAGTCCTGTATCTTCAGCAAAAAATGCGTGGTTTAGTAGGTCCCTGACAGACAACCTAATAAACAAAATACAAATCTGTTATCAATTCTTCCAATCATAAACAAGGTATAGAGCACTTAATTAGTAAAATTTGTGTCGAAGTAACAACCTGATTTAAAATTTTCTATTAATTAAACTGTTAATCTGCCTTTTTATAAAAACCAAATCTTATATCCAATTTATTATTACCAAGGATGCAAAGAAATCCCAACTAACATGCATTTGTAGTGATCTTAATTAAGGATTATTAACAGTAACATATCTAGATACTGAAGTTTAACATACGTAAAGGTATGCCTAGAGATAATTAGAGAAGTACTGCAGTAAATGTTAGATGGACTGAGTATCTTCCCTAAGCCACTGGCTTAAGTTACTAAAACTCACACAACAGATCGTTGGCAAAGGAAACTAAAAACTCTTCGAGGTATATAAACTCTAAAGTAAATTAGGAATTCAAACACTTTTACAAATGTTATAAATAGAAGTCATTAACTCTATTAACAATAATCTAGTCAGTGTACTTCACTCTTTAGGGAACGCCATGGGTGAAGCTAATTCAGTTCAGCAAAGTCACATGGTTTTCTTAAAGTATTTAAGTCCAGTATCCTAGGCCAAAGTATACATATAATGGATACAACTCTAGCCTAATATTAGGGATTAACCATCTCTGAAGAGAAACAAGCACAGAGGTTCAAAAGATTCTTTTATAAGCTAGGAGAGTTAATTTCCTTTTCTTTGACCACCTTCTAAAATAGATAAATAATATCTATCTATATTACAGGCCAGTGAGAGCTATAACTGATGTATTCCATAGTTTGTATGTAGAAAGCCCCTCCTGCACTATTTAAAACAGATAAAGCATATTGACAGCACGGTAGCCTGTAAGTTGAGGATTTTCAACCTTCTACATTTTCAGTGATCAAGAGACAAACACTTAACTAAGACAGTTTTATAAAAAAGAACAAGCTTGCTCAGACTAATTAGTCTTAAGGCTAAGGTGAGATGTGTTTAAGAAGGTATAACCAAGTTAATCACTCTGCTTCTAAATGAAAGTTTTGCCTAGATATTTTTACTAAGGAGTAACCACTGCAATAGCAGCAGACAATATCATTCATTAAATACTTATTACTCTGTTAGGTATTTTATATGCATTCATTAACTTTTTTTTTTTTTTGTGGTACGCGGGCCTCTCACTGTTGTGGCCTCTCCCGTTGTGGAGCACAGGCTCCGGACGCGCAGGCTCAGTGGCCATGGCTCACAGGCCCAGCCACTCCGCGGCATGTGGGATCTTCCCGGACCGGGGCACGAACCCGTGTCCCCTGCATCGGCAGGCGGACTCTCAACCACTGCACCACCAGGGAAGCCCAATTATCTTTTTAACTATCAAAATAATACCTATTTTGAGGAACAGCTAAAGTAAGTTTCTCAAGATCACACTGGCTAAGTGTGAGTCCAGATTTGAATCTTATTCTGCTGTGGAAGCCTGTGCTCTTTCCAAAACACTAATGTGCCATAAATCCTTTTGAATATTCCAGTGTTCTTTAGTAATAGATCATAATTAAAATGCTGTACAAACAACAGTCAGAAACCAAACTAAAATGGCTATTTCAACACAGTAGTTTTAGCATAGCTTAAAAAAAAGCATGCCTAAATTACTACAACTCAAAAACAACAACAAAATAAACAACTCAATTTTTTAAAAAGGCAAAGGACTTGAATAGACATTTCTCCAAAGAAGATATACAAATGGCCAATAAGCACATGGAAAGATACTGAACGTTATTAGTCCTTAGGGAAATGCAAATCAAAACCACAATAAGATACCACTTTATACCCATTAGGATGCCTATTAACAAAAAATGGAAAATAAGTGTTAGGGAGGACGCTGAGAAATTGGAACCATCACACATTGCTGGAAGGAATGCAAAATGATGCAGGCTTTATGGAAAAAATATAGTGGTTCTTCAAAAAATTAAATATATTATTACCGTATGATTCAGTAATTCTACTCCTAGGTATATACCAAAAAGAATTAAAAGCAGAGATTCAAGAAGATACTTGTTCACCAATGTTCATGCCGCATTATTCACAATAGCCAAGAGGCAGAAATAACCCAAGTGTCCATTAACAGATGAATGGATAAACAAAATGTGGTGTGTGTGTGTGTATACACACACACACACACACGCACACTAAGGAATAGTATTCAACCGTAAAAACAAAGGAAATTCTGATACATGCTATAACATGGATCAACGTTTAAACACTATGCTATGTGAAATAAGCCAGACGCAAAAGGACAAATATTTTATGATTCTACTTATATGAGGTACCTACGTAGAAGTAGAGACAAAGTAGAATAGAGGTTGGCAGGGGGTGAGGGGAAAGGGAGTGGGGAGTTACTGTTTAAATGGGCACAGAGTTTCTGTTTGGGATGATGAGAAAGTTCTGGAAATAGTGGTGATGGTTGTACAACAATGTGAATGTGCATAATGCCACTGAATTGTACATTTTAAAATGATTAAAATGGTGACTCTTAGGTTATTTATATTTCACCATAATTAAAATATAGAGATATATAGATATAGCCTGTTGGCACAAACACCAAGAATGTTGTGTAATAAAGCTATAATTAAACAGGTTTTATCTTAGTGACTTTTTATATTTTCAGATATGCAACACTAAACTTAGATAGATAACTAATAAAAATGGGAGACAGTCAGTGAAATGCTGGTGGAAATAATTTCTATAAAGGATCTATCACCTTATTAATCATAATCAATAAGGAGGTAAAAATCAAAATACTAACTGAACAGTTTGAGTCAGCAACTGTCCAAAGCTCAAATTAAAGGGAAAAGCTAAAACTAAAAGGAACTGTCCATAAGAAAAATAGAAATTGTGATACAAATAAATCTAGAATACTATTTCTTGAACAAAAATAGCCCTATCAGCTTTACCGTTATCATGACACAGGACATTATGGACAAATAAAAAACATCTGGTGAATTGATGGTTAAATTTTTTCTTAAACTATCATAAAAAACCATTTAAGTACTTATGTGAAGGTGACAATGCAGGAAACTCTCTACTATTTACCAACTGTTAGAAGTAAGTTAACCTGGGAGGGGGGCCCACTGACTGTTAAACTGATGGCTGAAGGTGATCTTGTCACAACACACACAGACAAACACAACCCAAATTTCGGTTCAAGGAAAATTCAGCACATGATATCAGTTTAAAATGGCAAACAAGATGCACTGATACACTTCACTCTAGTCAGTATGGTTTGGATTCCACTGAAAAGTCATACCCAGCATGATTCAAAGGTCAGAAAAAGACCCAGCTCAAGATAAGAGAAAAATTCATCCATCTGTTATGTCATTTCACTATATATGCACCCACCTTTCAGATTTATTTTGACGAATACATCCCTCGATGATTTCTTTCACTTCAGGATCAGTGACTTTATTGAAACTGGCTGGTTTTATACCCTGGAAGAAGAAAAACGGTTTCTAGTCACAAATCAAGAAACTGAAAGCCGAAGCCAACATCATTACTAAAATAATGATTTTTTACCACTAAACCATATTCAAATTTTAAATGAGATAAATATATACACACAGTATAAGTTTAACAACTTTTTGACAAGGATTTTGTCATGCCACTACAAATAACAGTGAAAAATTGTAAATGATCTAAATCTCTAATAACAGAGGTAATATTACATAAGTTATGTGATATACATATATATGCATATGCTAATACACAGAAACTAAACATGTTCTCATAGTAATTAATAATGTGGAGAGTTCTCATGCTGCAACATTAAGTAGGAAAAAAATAGGATCCCAAAATGTACATACAGTATAACCCCAATTAGTAAAATATAATAAACAAGTATTTTTTTGAAATCAGAAAAATCAGTTATTAAAAAACACTTTTAGAAATTCCAAATAAGGGCTTCTCTATCGCAAACATTTCAAATCAATATTTCAAAGTCTTCTAGAATGGCTAGACACAATATATAGTGTTATATATATATAAACTTTTGAGAAATCTATATTATGTTTATCCTTAAACAATACCAAAATATTGAGAGAACCTCAAGCTAATTATCAGGTTCTAGGAATTCAATATCAAATTAATGAGGTCCAGATAGTTCAAAACGTTCTTATAATAACTGTTAGCTGCCTAAATGTACTTATTTTACATTCTGTTACCCTTAATTTATGGGTTTTAGATTTAAAAAATAATACAAGAACATTGCCATCATTTAATAGAAAATTCAAAATTAAGCTATAAGCAGAAAGGTATAATAGAAAAATTATCATGGAATGAGGCAATCTAAGATCTAGTTCTGGGTCTTCACACTACCTCACAGAATACAGAATCAGAAAGCCAAGTACCATATCCTAGATAAATCTGGTGAGATTAGGAGTTAATTTGGGCCTCAAATTCAAGAAGCTTTAGTAGAGATGGAAATCTGAATTGTGATATGGCATTTTTGTGACCTGAATATAAAAGAATAAAATCACCATACAAAAAATGGAATTTTTTATTCTACTTATATAAAAAGCCCTCTTCGACCTTTCCACTGATCTCTTACCCATTCCCCAGCCCTGGATAATTACTGCCTTTCTCTGCTCCTAGGTGAAAATAATTGGGGAGCTGCAACTTAAAAAATCAAGTACTCTTCTATTCTATATGGGACTCTTCTATTTGTGGTTGTACAATATATGGGCCCAAACTAAAAGGGCATTCTAGTCCCATTTCTTTTTCTCAGCTGTTTACTATAGAAATTTTCAAACATACTCAAAAGTAGAAGTCCCATGTAATCATCACCAGTTTCAACAACAAGCATCATTCCTTAACCTCATTTCAGCTAGCTACTCCAACACCACTTTTATCCTGGAATATTTTAAAGCAAATATTGGCACCATGTCATTTCACCCATAAAGTCTCCAGTTTCTATCTCTAACAGATATCATGTCATCATTCCACCTAAAATAATTATCAATAATTGCTTAATATCATCTAAAACCCAATCCATACTCAAATTTTCCAAGTTGTCTAAATGAGGTGTTCTTACAAGTTGGTCTGTACAAATCAGGAGTCAAACAAGGTCCATACATTACATGTATGGTGCAATGGAACCGGCTCATACCAGCTCACAAGAGCCAACTATTACATTTTCAGGAATTGTGCAAGCTGATTATTAAATACATCCATTTATAAAATTTAAATTATATAAACTTACGATTAAATAAATTATATTAAGAGCCAAGGTAATAAATACTGAAAACACAATTCCTTGATTGTTTTACTACGTTTTACTATTACTTATGCTCTTGCAGTTGTTTACATCTTTTGTATCCGTATGGTGGAAATACTATATGAGTGCCACTCTGCACACTTTCTTAACCCTGCATTCAAGTGAGGTCACATTGGTGACTTGAAATCAGTCATGGTGGGAGCACTTACACCAAGGAAATTAGCAAATGCTAGAAATCAGTGCTTTTTCTTTTTCAGAGAATCAGTTGATAAACATTTACCAGCTCATCACTACTTTAAGTCTCTTGTATTCTGTAACAGTCCCTTCCCCTTTTTTCTTTCAGGAAATTGATTTGTTGGAGAAACTAGGTCATTTGTCATATAGAATTCTGGATTTCTTATTGTCTCCCTAAACAAACCTCTAAAGTCAGACTTGAGGTCAAAATCCACCATTACTAGTAGCTGTGTGAACTTGGGCAGGTCACAACCTCTGATTCTCAGGCTCATCATTTCTAAACTGAAGACAGTGCCATCTTGTAGGAATATAAAGATAAAAGCATGTGGCATATATTATGTATTTAAAAATGGTACCTATTAGTATGTTACCTGAAACACTCTAACAATCCCTTTTGTGGCCTACCTTGAGCCATCCAACTGGATATGAAAGGACCTATTTTCAACAATCTTTACACTTTGCTTCTACCTCCCTTACTATACTCCTATTCTCTTATTTTTATAGTTATTTGTGAGTTTATATTACTGCCCTACTAAAAATGTAAGCTCTTTGTAGGTAGCAAACACTTCTTACTCATCTTTGCATTCCTTGTAATTTCTAATGCAAAAAATTACTCATAGCAGGGAACCAAATACTGTATCCATTGAATGCCACTTCATAATCAGGCTTCTAGAACCAGAAGAAATCTTCAAAACCATTTAGCCAATCTTTATTATGTAGCTTTGGAAAATAAGATCCATCTAATAAATACCTAAAAATTCTTTACAAACAAATGGATATAGATGATATATCTGTATATTTTCCCCAAAGATACTAATACAGAGCATTTTATATGACCCCATTTGAGTATAGGTATATAGCATAAATCTAAAGCTTGTTTCATTACAATTATGTTAAATTTAGCACTGCTATACAGAACTAAACCAAAATTAAGTTTTTTGTTTGTTTGTTTTAATTTGGTTTTTCTGTTTTTATTTTTGGTTCTGTTGGGTCTTCGTTGCTGTGCGTGGGCTTTCTCTAGTTGTGGTGAGCGGGGGCTACTCTTCATTGCGGTGCGCGGGCTTCTCATTGCAGTGGCTTCTCTTGTTGCGGAGCATAGGATCTAGGCACACGGGCTTCAGTAGTTGTGGCATGCAGGCTCTAGAGTGCAGGCTCAGTAGTTGTGGTGCACGAGCTTAGTTGCTCCGTGGCATGTGAGATCTTCCCGGGCCAGGGATTGAACCCGTGTCCCCTGCATTGGCAGGCAGATTCTTAACCACTGAGCCACCAGGGAAGCCCCCAAATTAGGTTTTTTAAAATTAATTGTTATTGGAATACAGTTGCTTTACACCAAAATTATGTTTGACTAAGTCGACTTCTAAGTTTACTTTACCATGAAATGTGGCAATTTGTGAAGTAAAAAGAAAAAAGTTATACCTACACTAGTTACTTTACGGTATATTTGAGCTGCATTCTGGCACTCAGAATAAGGGTACTCCGAAGTAGCCATTTCTAGCATACACATTCCAAAAGCATAGACGTCCACAGATTCATCGTAGTGCTCTTCATACATCTCTGGGGCCATAAACTCAGGAGTGCCTACAAAATACCACAACCACATTTTTTAAAAAAGAAAGAAAAATGTAGAGAATTCCCTGGCTGTCCAGTGGTTAGGACTCTGCGCTCTCACTGTCAAGGGCCGGGGTTCAGTCCCTGGTCATGGAACTAAGATCCCACAGGCCATGCAGTGTGACCAAAAAAAAAAATGTATCCACTGAGATCACATTCCCTTTGCCATAAGGATTATCTGAGTTAAGTTCTGTTCCCTAAAAGCATATATAAAAAATATATATATATACACATATAATTCCTTAACTTAATTTCTTTAACTTTCCATACTGATGAAGTACAATTTGCACTGTTCAAAATTAGGTAATGATTACCAAAATCTGTTTTTATTTCTATCCTTGTTTTTAGTTATTTAAATTTTTCTGAAGTAGTAAATCCTATTTCTTAAGTCCTCAGAACCTTTCAATAATATTAAATACATCACAAAAGAAATACACTGGGATGTCTCTAAAATCAGTCAATATATAATAGATATTTCAAAGCAAATTCACATTCTAGACCAGGGGCCAGCAAATTTCTCCATAAAGGGCCAAACAGTAAATATTTCAGGCTTTGTAGTCCACATGGGCTCTATCACAACTAATTAACTCTGACACTGTTGTGAAAAAGCAACCATAGACAATATGTAAATGAGTGGGTGTGACTGTGTTCCAACAAAACTTTATTCACAAAAATATGCAGTGAAGCCAAATTTGGCCCATAGGCTGTGGTTTGCTGATCCCCGTTCTAGACATATACAATTTTAAAAATCTGTCTTTACACAACCAACAAACTATAAAATGTTAATCACCAATGACACTTTTAGCAAATGATGTGCGCATTAAGGTGGCTAGTCCTAGATCACCAATCTTCACAGATCCAGTGGGTCCCGTGATGAAAATATTGTCACACTTCAGATCCCGGTGAATAATAGGAGGAGTCCTAGTGTGCAAGAACTGCAACCCCTTTAAAATTTGCCTGCACCAGCTCCTTAAGACCTTTGGTTTCATGACTTTAAATCGTTTTAAGTACCTACACAAAGAAACAAAAACCACATGTAAACAAACATACCTAGCTTACTGTATGAGCACATTAGGGGAAATCATGTAAGCTAGTTGATACTGTATATATTATGATTGCCATCACTGAGTTATCTTCTATTGTCTGTTATGACAAAAAATTATTAAATCTAAAGCCTCATTCTTAGAGAAGACATCCTACTAAGTTTAGCATTTTTAATTCAAAACAAGAATCATTCCAATCAGAGTGACCTTTTGTGGAATGGCATCAACATTTTAAAAACAAAGTCCTCTGTACTTCCTAATAACTGCTTAAATAGAGTCATCAGAGGGTTTAACTATGTAAAATTTTAGTGCACAGATGCTAGGAAACAGAAAAAGTACATCGCACATTTAATAATCACAAATAAGTGGTTATACCATCAAATGAAATACTGTATTCAGAAACAAAACAATAGACTATAATTACATAGTACTGCTCACTAGACATGTGAATCTGGCCACGTCCCCAACCTTTCATCATCTTCTACAAAATGGCATTATATTATCTCTATAATGATTTCTAATTCTAAAATTCTATGATATCCCACAAATATTAATTTCTCAACATTGTATTTTCTAACAAACTTCATTAACATCCAAATTTTTTAACCTGCCCTGAAACATAGTCACTAGATTCAGATTCTAGAAATTCTTTAATCAAGTAGAGTTACTTTACAAACAACTTTTGCGACTCCTGAAAATTATTTCCAAATAAAACTCCATTGGCACTTTCAGGGTCAACTTACGTCTTTAAGGTTCCTGATGTCATAAGTTCAGTCACTAATACAATACATTTCTTTCCTTTTAATATAGACTCCCAGGAATCATAGAATCGAACTATATTGGGATGCTGGAGACCCTTTAACATCTCTGCTTCTTCCTTGAACCTTTGCTGCTCAGCTTTGGTTAATTTCCGGTCCTAAAATGGAAGATCAAGTTCCAAATTAAAGTCTAGAAATTCTCTTGCACATTTCTAACACCACTCAAATGAGTGCTTTATTTATTTATTTATTTTTATTTATTTATTTTTTGCAGTACCCAGTCCCCTCTCCTGCTGCGGAGCACAGGCTCTGGATGCGCAGGCCCAGCGGCCATGGCTCACGGGCCCAGCCGCTCCACGGCATGTGGGATCTTCCCGAACCGGGGCACGAACCCGTGTCCCCTGCATCGGCAGGCGGACCCACAACCACTGAGCCACCAGGGAAGCCCTGAGGGCTTTATTTTATTGTATGTATGTGTGTATGTATGTATCTATTTTCACCTGTCAATTCTTTTCTCATTACCTATATAATCATTGATATTCTTTGTTAGGTGGTTACTTTGACTCCTCTCATACAGCAAAATGCAGCAGTTGTTACATTTCATAACTATGTTCATAACTATGTTTATTTCATAAACCTACCTGCATAATAAATCAATGCCTTGATAAACAATATATTTGATGTTATCTAAACTTTTGTGATAATCATTTCACTATATATACATCTCAAATCATTATGTTGTATACCTTAAACTTCTACATTGTGATATGTCAATTACATCTCAATAAAACTGGAAAAATAAATAATAAATAGTAAGTAAAATTTCCTTTGCTGGAAAAGAAAAACAGTATCTCAAAGTGAGAAAAAGTAAAAAATCAAAACAATAAGAAAGTTTCCCGAGGTGGAGGGGAAGATGGCAGAAGAGTAAGACACGGATATCACGTTCCTCCCCACAGATACACCAGAAATACATCTACACGTGGAACAACTCCTACAGAACACCTACTGAACGCTGGCAGAAGACCTCAGACCTCCCAAAAGGCAAGAAACTCCCCACGTACCTGGGAAGGGCAAAAGAAAAAACAAAGACAAAAGAATACGGACGGGACCTGCACCAGTAGGAGGGAGCTGTGAAGGAGGAAAGGTTTCCACACACTAGGAAGACCTTTTGCGGGCGGAGACTGCAGGTGACGGCGGTGGGGAGCTTCGGTGCCGCGGAGAGTGCAGCAACAGGGGTGCAGAGGGCAAAGTGGGGATATTCCCGCACAGAGGATCGGTGCCGACCGGCATTCACCAGCCTGAGAGGCTTGTCTGCTCATCCGCCGGGGAGGGCGGGGCTGTGAGCTGAGGCTCGGGCTTTGGTCGGAGTGCAGGGAGAGGACTGGGGTTGGGGGCGTGAACACAGCCTGAAGGGGTTAGTGCACCACTGCTATCTGGCAGGGAGTGCGGGAAAAGGTCTGGAGCTGCCGAAGAAGAGGTAAGAGACTTTTTCTTCCCTTTGTTTCCTGGTGCGCGAGGAGAGGGGATTAAGAGCGCTGCTTAAAGGAGCTCCAGAGACAGGCGCGAGCCGCGGCTAACAGCACAGACCCCAGAGACGGGCATGAGACGCTAAGGCTGCTGCTGCCGCCACCAAGAAGCCTGTGTGCGAGCACAGGTCACTATCCAAACCTCCCTTCCGGGGAGCCTGTGCAGCCCGCCACTACCGGGATCCCGGGATCCAGGGACAACTTCCCGGGGAGGACGCACGGCGCGCCTCAGGCTGGTGCAACGTCACACCCGCCTCTGCAGCCGCAGGGCCGCCCCGCACTCCGGGCCCCTCCCTCCCCCGGGCCTGAGTGAGCCAGAGCCCCCGAATCAGCGGCTCCTTTAACCCCGTCCTGTCTGAGCGAAAAACAGACGCCCTCCGGCCACCTACACGCAGAGGCGGAGCCAAATTGAAAGCTGAGCCCCTGGGAGCTGTGAGAACAAAGAGAAAGGGAAATCTCTCCCAGCAGCCTCAGGAGCAGCGGATTAAAGCTCCACAATCAACTTGATGTACCCTGCATCTGTGGAATACCTAAATAGAAAACGAATCATCCCAAATTGAGGAGGTGTACTTTGAGAGCATGATTTCTGATTTTTTCCCCTTTGCCTCTTTTTGTGAGTGTGTATGTGTATGTTTCTGTGTGAGATTTTGTCTGTATAGCTTTGCTTCCACCATTTGTCCTAGGATTCTATCCGTCCGTTTTTTGTTTTTTGTTTTTCTTTAATTTTTTTATTTCTTAATAATTAATTTTAATTTTAATAATTCTATATTATTTTACTTTATCTTTCTTACTTCCTTTCTTCCTTCCTTCCTTCCTTCCTTCTTCCTTCCTTCCTTCCTTCCTTCCTTCCCTCCTTCCTTCCTTCCCTCCTTTAGACAACAAATCATCCCAAATTGAGGAGGTGGACTTTGAAAGCAAGATTTATGATTTTTTCCCCTTTTCCTCTTTTTGTGAGTGTGAATGTGTACGCTTCAGTATGAGATTTTGCCTGTATAGCTTTGCTTCCACCATTTGCCCTAAGGTTCCATCTGTCCGTGTTTTTTAAAATTTTCTTCTTAATAATTAATTTTTAATTTAATAACTTTATTATATTTTACTCTATTTTATTTTACTTTATCTTCCTTCTTTCTTTTTTCCTTCCTTCCCTCCTTTCTTCCTTCCTTCGTTCCTCCCACTGTCCTTCCATCTCTCCCTCCTTCCTTCCCTCCTTTCCTTCTTTCCTTCATTCCTTCTTCTTGCTTTCTTCCTTCCTACCTTTCTTTCTTTCTTTCTTTCTTTCGTTGTACTTCGAATAATTCTTTCTCTCTACTTGTTCTCCCTTTTATTCTGAGCCATGTGAATGAAAGGCTCTTGGTGCTGCAGCCAGGAGTCACTGCTGTGCCTCTGAGGTGGGAGAGCCAACTTCAGGACACTGGTCCACAAGAGACCACCCAGCTCCACATAACATCAAACAGCGAAAAACTCCCACAGATCTCCATCTTAACACCAGCACCCATCTACACTCAACAACCAGCAACCTACAGTGCTGGACACCTTATGCCAAACAACTAGCAACAGAGGAACACAAGCCCACCCATTAGCAGAGAGGCTGCCTAAAATCATAGTAAGTCCACAGACACCCCAAAACACACCACGAGACGTGGACCTGCCCACCAGACAGACAAGACCCAGCCTCATCCACCAGAACACAGGCACTAGTCCCCTCCACCAGGAAGCCTGCACAACCCACTAAACCAACCTTAGCCAATGGGGACAGACATCAAAAACAACGGCAACTACGAATCTGCAGCCTGCAAAAAGGAGACCCCAAACACAGTAAGATAAGCAAAATGAGAAGACAGAAAAACACACAACAGATGAAGGAGCAAGATAAAAACACACCAGACCTAACAAATGAAGAGGAAATAGGCAGTCTACCTGAAAAAGAATTCAGAAAAATGATAGTAAACATGATCCAAAATCTTGGAAATAGAATAGACAAAATGCAAGAAACATTTAACAAGGACCTAGAAGAACTAAAGATGAAACAAGCAATGATGAACAACACAATAAATGAAATTAAAAATACTCTAGATGGGATCAATAGCAGAATAACTGAGGCAGAAGAACGGACAAGTGACCTGGAAGATAAAAATAGTGGAAATAACTACTGCAGAGCAGAAAAAAGAAAAAAGAATGAAAAGAACTGAGGACAGTCTCAGAGACCTCTGGGACAACATTAAATGCACCAACATTCGAATTATAGGCATTCTGGAAGAAGAAGAGAAAAAGAAAGGGACTGAGAAAATATTTGAAGAGATTATAGTTGAAAACATCCCTAATATGGGAAAGGAAATAGTTAATAAAGTCCAGGAAGCACAGAGAGTCCCATACAGGATAAATCCAATGAGAAATATGCCAAGACACATATTAATCAAGCTGTCAAAAATTAAATACAAAGAAAACATATTAAAAGCAGCAAGGGAAAAACAAGAAATAACAAACAAGGGAACCCCCATAAGGTTAACAGCTGATCTCTCAGCAGAAAATCTGCAAGCCAGAAGGGAGTGGCAGGACATACTGACAGTGATGAAGGAGAAAAACCTGCAACCAAGATTACTCTACCCAGCAAAGATCTCATTCAGATTTGATGCAGAAATTAAAAACTTTATGGACAAGCAAAAGCTGAGAGAGTTCAGCACCACCAAACCAGCTTTACAACAAATGCTAAAGGAACTTCTCTAGGCAAGAAACACAAGAGAAAGAAAAGACCTAAAATAACAAACTCAAAACAATTTAGAAAATGGAAATAGGAACATACATATCGATAATTACCTTAAATGTAAATGGACTAAATCCTCCCACCAAAAGACAAGATAGGCTGAATGGATAGAAAAACAATACCCATATATATGCTGTCTACAAGAGACACACTTTAGATCTAGAGACACATACAGACTGAAAGTAAGGGGATGGAAAAAGATATTCCATGCAAATGGAAACCAAAAGAAAGCTGGAGTAGCAATTCTCATATCAGACAAAATAGACTTTAAAATAAAGACTAATAGAAGAGACAAAGGACACTACATAATGATCAAGGGATCGATCCAAGAAGAAGATATAACAATTGTAAATATTTATGCACCCAATATAGGAGCACCTCAATACATAAGGCAAATACTAACAGCCATAGAACGGGAAATCGACAGTAACACATTCATAGTAGGGGACTTCAACACCCCACTTTCACCAATGGACAGATCATCCAAAATAAATATAAATAAGGAAACACAAGCTTTAAATGATACATTAAACAATATGGACTTAACTGATATTTATAGGACATTCCATCCAAAAACAACAGAATACACATTTTTCGCAACTGCTCATGGAACATTCTCCAGGATAGATCATATCTTGGGTCACAAATCAAGCCTTGGTAAATTTAAGAAAATTGAAATTGTATCAAGTATCTTTTCCGACCACAACGCCATGAGACTAGATATCAATTATAGGAAAAGATCTGTAAAAAATACAAACACATGGAGGCTAAACAATACACTACTTAATAACGAAGTGATCACTGAAGAAATCAAAGAGGAAATTAAAAAATACCTAGAAACAAACGACAATGGAGATACAACGACCCAAAA